CAGGAAACTTTGTGCTACAGTACTTGAGCATCCAGAACCAGGAAGTAATTCTTCTTCATAAAAACAGAAATGTCCCTTTCATGGCTTGAAGTTCTGATTAATCCTCGAATCAGAAGCCCTTTTTGTAAAAACTGCATCACTCAGTAACCATAGTTATAGAATCACACAGCTCTTTAAGACTTTCTTTTATATGTGCTACTCAACTATTATTAAACTTTCAAGTCATAATTAATGGCTAAATTATGCTATCACTTAAGGTAGCAAATTAAGTTTGAATAATCTTAACCCTTACCAACTGATTTTTAAAACAACTTCACTTTGATTTGCCTGAAGTCTAAACTTCACATATATTTTCACAAATAGATTACATTTAGAGCTTACATCTTCCCAAAAATCTCAAGGTGAAATGAAATTCAGAGTCATACCAGCATTACTATCATGGGATGCTAATTTATTTTCCCAACTACAATGTAAAACATACTTTTCTATATTACTAATGAGGACTGATCTCAGGGTTTCAAAAACTTTTTAAAGTTTCAACTATTTGACTATCGTCCAGGTTTTTTTCTACAGTTAACATGAAGCTTCAGGGGAGAAATATTCTAATGTTACTTTTTAAAGAAAATTTGCCTACCATCTTGCAGCTAATTGAGCTTGCTGCAATTAAACTTTTAGTTTAAGAAAGGTCAAGTATCTCTCTCAGTTCACATTGACAATACTCATTATGTTTAGGAAAGTAAGTTCTATGTTCTATTTATTGTCACACTCACCATCTTCCGACTGTTTTTTCCCTACCACCATATTCAGCACTTTCGCCTGCGTTTTCCTGCCTAAACCTCTGAGGCACCGCAGGTCATTCTTCCCGGGTGCCCACCCACTGAGCCGAAGGAAGCATTTCTCCTGAGAGCTGAGAGCTGCTTTCATCCCTCTCCACTCAGCCAGCGAGACAGACGGGCAGGCTGGCCACTCCCTCAGACAGGCAAGTAACTCTGTTCTAGGAGTTTTGACACTAAAGTATAACTAACTTACAATATTATATTAGGGAAATATTTTGTGACTGCAATTTCAACTGTTTATGGGCTCGTGTCCCCACCCCCTCTCTTTTCTGGGTTTTGATTTTTTGCAGCTTAATCAACAGTTAAGGGCAATATCACAGGCCTTCATTTTTAAAGGAAAATCATGCGGGTTACATTTGATATAGCAAGAAACCAAACAAGCAGATTAGCCTCTCAATAAAACTTCCTTTTAAAAACACCTAATATTTATTACAGTAGCAATACACATTATATGTGTTCATAGTCTTCTACTGGGTAAGTGTTTGGGACAAGATGCAAGATCAAATTATTATAACAAGAAACAATTTAACTGATAATAGTGTCCTTTAACTGATACATGTTTGAAGTAGCTTTACTTAGCGTAGTGGAACATTCATTTCAAAAACAAGATAAGGGTCAAAAAAAAGACTCCAATCACTTACAGCAATTAATAACACCTAGAAGGCAAGTTCATTTAATGTTGGAATATGGGCTAATTTCTATGCTGTGGAATGTCAAAAATCTCTGAAGATACCTTTTAAAACTATGAATCAAGATACTCAATATAGTTGTTAATAAAATCACAGTCACAAGAAACCTTGAGTCTTCAAGGTTTAAAAACAGAGTCCAGTTATTTAGAAAATGATAAAAAAAAAAAACCAGAAATGAAACAAAATGACCTCTTAAAAATGAGAAGATTATTAAAACAATGAAAATCTACACATTTTTTAAATCACTGGATGGAACCCTATATGCAACATTTTACATAAGAAGTTCTTCGTATGTTGTAACAGTTTCAGAGCATCAGAGTCAATAAAACAAATTGGAGAAGTAAGAACACTCTTGTAACCAGAGATATAGAATTCTAATTCAGGAAGTTATTCAGCAGCTTATAAAGAAATAGGAAGTTGTTGACCAACTACTTGAAGAACTATTTCCTGTAGGAAAACTGTGAGACAGATGAAGAAAGCAGTAATTCTCAAAGCAATAAAAGAATTCTCTTAAAGCTCAATACACAATTTTGAAGGAATTAGTTTTAAACAGTAAACTCAGTAGAACAAATATTATACCTAATATGCAGACTAAACTTTAAAAAAACTACTTCACAGTCATACCAGAACCTGAATGTGTGTCACTGATAAAATAGCTAGGAGCATACTTCCACCTTATCACTTGCCAACCTAAGGCACAAGTCTTCTCCAGAAAATCTCACTGATGGAGTCAGGGCTTTAAAAATCCCAACAGTTGCCTGCCTGCAATCCTTCAGTAGTTATGCTGCCTTGAAACAATAGGATGGGCCAACTAACTTCAAAGTCATTTATCTAATGTCACAAGACAATAATCAGTGGCTTCCAAAGTAAATGTTTCTAAGTTTTAAATTATATCACCTTGCAAATCTGGACCATGTATGGTCAGATTTCTCCATGCCAAGTGTGTATTTCAACACATTATATACTTTGTAACTTAAAATTAGTGCCAACAAGTATCTAAAAAAATATATAGTAAGGTACAGCTTTCACTGGTGAAATGAGTGTGAAGTCTCTAATTTAAATCTTCATTCTCCATCTAGCCAGCAATAAGAATCTTCTTTAGACACAAGAGGAAAGTACTGCTGACTGCAAAGAGACCTTGACTTTAAAATATCAAACCCAGAATAAAAATGAACTTTGACAATTAACAACCCGGCTCCAAAAACTTCATTTATTACCTTCAACTCTAAGTCAAGGCAGATACTAATCTCATTTCCTGTGCAATACACAAAAATAAGTTGTTGAAGACAACTCACATGCCCCACGATATCATGGAAATAGCCACCAACTGGATGTGAACTAATCTTTGTATAACTCTTCTCCAACTTACACCCTGCTCATAAAGCAGATCCTTTAGAAGATACTAAATTTGTAAGTCCACATCCATTTTCCACATCCAGTGCTTAGGGGCCCTCTCTGTAATTCCTGATGTGTACCAACTAACCCATGATTTTGCTGACTTTTACTGACCAAGATCCATCCATAAGGGGACACCTTTTTATTTCTGAAGGTTTGATGTGAGCCAAATATTCCATGGAGTCAAAAATCTTCATGATTCTTATCACATAATAAATCTAATTTTACTTCCAGTGAGAATCTCTCAAAAATCTTGAAAAACAATCATGCTAATCTATCTTCTTTTCCCGTTTTTCTTTTCCGTGGCATAATTTTCCGACCTTTTTATCCTGGTTTACCTTCACTAGAGGCTCCCTTGAGTGGGGTGTTTGGGGTGGGGGGTGTACGTGTGTGTATCTTTTGTTAATCCACCTTTGAGAGAAACACTTTCTCAAAGAAAGCAGCACTGGAAGCTTTAAAAAATAAAATACAGAACATTTCAGGTCAAAACAAAAAGATCGTTAAATGTACATCCATAAAAATGTAGGCAGATGTCACCTCAAAGCAGTTATTACAAGATACAGAGACGAAAAGGGGAGCATAAATGTTGCTCTTTAATCACAGACTTTCAGCCATAACATCAGCCAAAGGAGAGGCAAGCCGGCTATTAAACTGTTTAAAACTCTCCCCAGGTCAGCGTGCGACCCAGCAGGGAGAGGTTCAGAAAAGTACAGCCTTTCTTTTTCCTAACAACCTGGTTTGTTTCCACTCCTTTTCCCTTCAAGACACATCCCTCACAGCGAGCAACTCTTTCAACCATTTACTGGGGACGTCTGCTTCAGAACAAATGATCTTGCTCATGCAGATGAGTTTGCCAGACTTGTGTGTACCTTCCAGTCTCAGGCGCTTTATTGTTCTGGTTGAAACCTGACCCTCTGAAATGGATACTGGGACACCAGAAAACGATTTAAAAAAGAAAAAAGTTGCAGGAAAGGGGGGCAAAAAACTGCAGAAACTTTTCAAGATCAAACTTTTCCCTCTGCTTTTCTCCTAAATAAGCTTGTCACAAAACTGTATCTTACACTGAAAGTTAACAACCTGCCCTGAAAGGCAATATAAAATATTAAGATATACAACAAAACAGTATTATTATTATTGTATTATCTGAACTAATGAATAAATGTTACATTTGCCTTGGAAGGAGACTGTCAAAGACAGATGTCAATCAAAACTTGGGTTGTTTTTTATTTTATCATCTCAACATGATTGAACAGAACTAAGCAACTTTTTGAAAATATCAATTTCAGCCTATAATTACTTGTAGGAAACATTCTGTATATACTTATGCCAAAGAAGCCAAATAAGAATATTAAAGTCTTATCCATAATTTCAAAGTGAGAGGAGACAAAATTCTACTTTGATCTTTTCAGCGTCAATGAAAATCTGCCATTTTGTTAAACACACAAAAAATAAGGCTGAGAAAAACAAATAACCCAATAGCCTTGTTTCTGTCTACCCAGAGAAGAGGGATTCTATTTTGAAGACCTGCTGGCTCAAAAGAAGTTTGCCACTGAACTACTGAATATCAAATACAAAAAGCATATTTCTCTTTGCTTTTTGAAGGAGAAAATGACAATACACATCAAACTGCAGCTAAAGGGTCCGTCATCTCATACCTAAAATACTGTAAAATCAGATTTCCAGGGAAGTCCTACCTATTTTTATAGTTCTTTTCTACCAGTCAAATGTTTAAAAAGGTAAGTAGTGCCGTACGAACTTTAGGAAAACTATGCCAGCCTCCTAATTCTCACAATTTGAAATTCTTCACGGGATCCTTTCAGTTCTGAGCTAGGCTAATTAACAGGTTTGGCACAAACTCAAAATGAGAACATCCTAACTGCCACAAAAAAAGTTTAGTAAGAGGCTATGAGCCAGGAATCCATAAAGCTTTCAAAATATTACCCAAAGAAGGTATTTAGGTCATACTATCCTGGAAAAAAAAGACATTATGGAAGAGATCACTGAGCTTGACATAAACATTAAGGAAAATTAATCATATCTTGGTACCAGAAAAACGATCTCCCACCCTTCTCCCACTTACTTTAAGAAGTACCTCTGACCGGAAGATGTCTTCGCCATCTCCCAGCCGGCTGGCAGAGGCACATCGTCAGGGATCTCAAAGGAAGACTGTCGAAGGTGCTGAGCGGCCGGTGCGGCTGCCGGGCCGGGGACCACTCCCGTGGGGGTCAGCGTCCCCGGAGACACGGCCCCCAGCTGCAGGGACGCGGGGGACGAGTGGGCCCGCACGTGCTGCGGAGTGAGCGCCCCGGCGGTGCCCGCGTCGGTACTGGCCTGTCGGGAAGGTGGAAACAAAGACTTCTTAAAACACGTTCTCAAAGAGAATCCTTGCAAACTTCTTCAATAGATATTTGGTTGCCATGAAATTCTAAATACCAAAGGTAAATTTCAACATTTAATATCTAACACAGAGGAATACACGTTGCAGATGGATACTTTTAAATGCTGAGGCAAACGCCAAGGCGGGTGTTTTTCCAAGGTCTGAACTGTTTTAGGTATAAACAAAACCCAAAGAATAAAATGACTATGTACTCCCCACCTTTTTTCAAAACTAAGTTTTACGTAATGGTTTTTTCCTAAGCCAAGCCCCAAACACAAGACAGGTGTCATTTTTTTCTCACCATGGACAAATGTCATCAATACAGCAACCATCAAAATTTATACAACTTTTAGGAACTACAAAAGATCCAGAAACATCCAAATATTCTTTAAAAGCCACCTAATGAATGAAATATAAACCCACCATATATTTGTACCTAGATGATAAAGATGTCAACAATGTAACTACAAGGTAACTTAAGAATTTACATTCTTACATATTTACAACTGTGTAGCAGCAGAAAACCTCCTGAACTCAGACCCTAAAGATACGGGTTCCAGTCCAACCTGGCTAGTGTGACACACGGGACAATATCTTACTCTCTGAGCCTCAAGTTTCCTCATTTGTAATAGCTTTTTTTTTTCCCCACGACGGAAAAATGAGGCAATAAATGAACTTATATTCAAACATTCAATAATTTGTGAACAACAGTATTGACAACCCATATTCATACTATTCATAAGCAAATAGTTATTTAAATTCCTTAGAGTTAGGGTTTGATTATCAAAAAGTTAGAATTTCCCAGATTGATACAGCCAAGGAAGACAGACTGGAAGCAATCAGCAAGGGCATCTATGCCTTGATGTTAAATCATACACATTCTGAGTTTCCAATCAGAATAAACTGGAATTTAGGACTCATTACCATAAATAAAAGTCAAACTTACAGATGCACACCACTTGGTCAACAAACACATTAAAACAAACAAAACTAGTAAATTCTGAATATTATGAATCCATAAGCTGCTGAAACAAACTTTCATGCAATCATTTACTAGAATAGGCACACTTTTCAACGGCAATTCTTTTCGGCTTATAGATTCCACAAAATGGGGAATTCAACCTCCTATGGGTATTATACTTTTGAAACATACTAACTAGCGGCATAGCTGTGGAGACGGTGGGGTGCAATGCCAACACGCATTTTTACCCATGAGTCTGGAAAGTCATTTCCAGGGGTAAGAGAAAGAAGCATCCCTAAGTCTGCTACTTTTTTTGTTTGTTTGTTTTTTGATGTCTACTTCTTACAAACTGAAATGTTTAGGGCAAGCAGCTGAACTGCTTTTCCTTCCTCTCCCTTAACCCAGGTTTTTGTCAGCAGGTTAAGCGAGTTTTTCCGAGTTCCCAAACCCCTTGGTCTGAGGGAGAAGAACTTATCACAGGCCTGCAAATAGGAGGGGCGATGGGAGCGGGGGCGATAAGTGTTCTTTCCGCTCAAGTTACAGCCGAGTGGACTAACTTCATCGCAGTATTTGGAAAACCAATTAACTTTTGGGCAAAGTTCCTATGCTGAAGTTTAGCCTGAAGCAAGTTCTTTTTTTAAAAAGGAAGGACAGAAAGAAAAATCTCCCCTAAACAAATCTGGGACCGATCGGAATGTTAACACTTTTATGATATACAGTTCACTTCAACGCTGGATCACGTTGACAAAACAATCGAACGCTGTGTATGTGGAACAGCCATGTTCATATCCTCAGTAAGAATTAAAGAGCAATGGCGAGCCTCGAATTAGTCATCGCTTCCCAAACATTAAGTTCTAATCACAGCTGAACTAGGCAGGACTCGGCCTGTGAGTCAACCTGCGGAGCGTTATCAAAGGCTTGTGTTAAACCCCAGGCGCGGTGCAACCCAGCCCAGGGCCCGCGCGCCGTGCAGATGTGGCCCATTTAAAAGCATTTCAGCGGGCTGTAAATAATCGTCCGCCGTGGGGAAGCCAGCACGTGAGCCCACTGCGTTTCGGGGGAGAGTGAGCCTGCGCGAGCTGCAGAGCGCAAGGGGGAAGGGCCGGGGTGAGAGCGCCCAACTCCATAAACAACTTCCAGGAAAGTCTGGATCCTGTGCTCGGCGAGCGCCGGGGCCGCGAAGAGGAGAACTGCTCCCGGGAGGGGGCGGGGGACAAAGAGCCCGGGACCGCCCGGGCCGGTTCGAGCCCCGGCCCTGCTCCACGCTGGCCAACGAGGGCACGATTCCGTGCCTCCCCGGGAGACGGGCGGGGGGGAGACCGGGGGGCCCCGGAGGAGAGGGGGCCTGGGGCGCGACTCCGCCCGCGGAGGCCAGGGCCGCCCCCGTCCGCTGCCCGGCGGCGGGAGCGGAGGTGCGGGGCGCGCGCGCATTGTGCGAGCCCCCCGCTGCCCGGCCGCCTCGCCCGCCCCTGCCTTCCCCCCCAACTCCACCGGGAGCCCGCGGGGGAGGAAAGAAGGGAGCGGGCAGAGCGCGCCCACGGGGGCTGCAGCCGCGGAGGGAGACTCCCGGGGGCTGGGGGGGACAAATCTCGGCCTCGGACTCCCGAGGAGCGCGGCGCCCTGGCCGGCCCGCCTCTGCGCGCACCCATCCCCGCCCCGCCGGCGCCCCCGGAGCCCGCACCCCACGAGCGCCCCCGCCGGAGCCCCCGAGCCGGGGGCCCGCCCGGCGGGGAAGCGGGGAGACGGGCGGCGCGGTTACCTGTCGGGAGTGAGATTTGGGCTCGGGTGGCTTGAAGAAGGAGTCGGGCAGCTTCCGGAGCCTCATGGGCACGGTCTGCGGCACGTTGGCCGTCTTGGGGTTCATGACGGCGTTGAAGAGCGCCTCCAGGTCGGTCTCCGAGTCCCCCCGGACGTGCACTATCTGGTGGCCGGCGGGGGGGGCCTGCGGCGCCGCCGGGGGCCCCGGGGGCGCGGGCTGCCCGGGCGCGGACGGCGGGCCCTGGCCCTGGGGGGCCTGCGCGGGCGGTGGGCCCTGGCCCTGGGGGGCTGGCGGTGGCGGCGGCGGCCCGGGATCCATGGCTCCTGCCTCGCCCGGCGGGCGCGGGCTCCGCCCGGACGGCCCGGCTCGACGAGCCGCGGCGGGGGAAGCGGCGGGCGCGGCGCTGGCCTCGCGCTCAGGGCCGGGGGCTGCGCCGCGGCCCCGCAGCCCCCGCCCCGCGCCCGGCTCCGCGGGCCTGCGGCGCGTCGGGAGGGGCCGCCGGAGACTGGGGCCCGCGGCGCCCGCGCTCGCTCCCTCGGCCCGGGCTGCGGCCACACGGCCCGCGCCGCTCCCCTCCCCCTCGCCCGGTTTCCTCTCCTTGTTCCTTCCTTCCTCCCTTTCTCTCCCCCGGCGGCGGCCGCTCCCGACTGAGACGCAAACTCGCCTCGGACGCCAAAACTAAAGTTGGGAGACGCGCCCGCCCGAGCGGCCGCGGCCCCGCCTCCTCGCGGCGCTTCCTTCCTCTGCGCGCCCGCCCGCGCCAGATGCGCAGGGAAACTTTCCCCGGCGAGGGCGCCGCATTCCTGCGGACTCCGGCCGCCGCCGCCCCGCCCGCCCGCTCGCGCGCCCGCGCGCCCGGCCTCCGCGGGGCCTCGCGGAGCCGAGGCCGCGGCCGGGAGCGTGCCTGGCCCCCCGCGCCCGGGGAGTGCCGGCTCGACGACGCGCGCGGAGCCGGTCCAGGTCGGAGCCCCGGCTCCGCTGGGAGCGCGGGCGCCCTGGGCGCGGGGGGTCCGGCCGCCTCCCGCCCGTCCTCGGGAGGGGCTGCGAGGCCGCCCCTCGCCCCTCGATGCCGGACAGCTAAGGCAGAAAGGAGGCGGGCGGGGACTGCCCTGACCGACCGGAGTGCCCATGTGGTCTCACGGCGAGGGTGGACCTAAAATGGTACCCGTAACACACATTGACTTAATAAGGATCCATTTTTTTTTGGTAAAAATATGAACTTGATACTTCTTAAACATGCAAAACCCGCTTGAAACCAGTTTTGTGATTTGAAGCTTAAAGACTAAATCTGTGACTCGGTCTAATTTACTAAATAACCAAAAAATTGCCTTTGTTTAAAGTGAAAACTTTTTTTTAGTACTCAGATTTGCAACATAGTCGTGAAAACTTCAACGGCGAAGAAAGTCCACGCTTAACTGCAAGTTAACTCTGTGTACCTGTCTTATCCTCGACGGGATGGGAGCCTACCTTTTTTTGTTACCCCGTGCCTGGCACCTTAACTTTCACTTTGAGAAAGCTGACGGAACAAGAAGTAAATGGGTGAGGAGCTCACGCCATGCACCTGGTTCTCTTTGTGGCGGTGTCGTGCATGCAAGGAGTCCACTTGAAATCACTCAAAAGCCACGAAAATGTGTCGGGTTTTTTGGTTTGTTTGACCGCGCTGCTTGCGAACTTGTGCCTCCAGCAGTGGAACCAGGGAGTTCACTGGAGTGCCAGGGAATTTTCCAAAAATTTGTTTCTTGTTTCATACAGTCTGATTTTAAAAGCTGCTTTACTGAGATATCCCATTCCATAAAATGTGTCCATTCAAGCAATCCAGTATGTTTCGTATATTCACAGGGCTATGCAACATCACTCTGATTTTAAATCCACTAGTTCATTACATAGAAAAACTAGCTTCCTGTTTTAATGATTGTGTCTGCAATGCTAGTGAAACAGATGTGTAAATAGGATTAAACAAGAAAAGGGCCCATGAGAAAAAAAAAAAAAAAAAAACACCTTTTCCTCCAGCCAGACCAGTCAGTTCAGTTCAGTCACTCAGTCGTGTCCAACTCTTCTAGACCCCATGGACTGCAGCACGCCAGGCTTCCCTGTCCTTCACCAACTCCCGGAGTTTACTCAAACACATGTCCATTGAGTCAGTGATGCCATCCAACCACCTCATCCTCTGTCCTTCCCTTCTCCTCCCACCTTCAATCTTTCCCAGCATCAGGGTCTTTTCCAGTGAGTCAGTTCTTCACATCAGGTGGCCAAAGTATTGGAGTTTCAGCTGCAGCATCAGTCCTTCCAATGAATATTCAGGACTGATTTCCTTTAGTATTGACTGGTTTGATCTCCTTGCTGTCCAAGGGACTCTCAAGAGTCTTCCAACACCACAGTTCAGAGGGAGCTGTATTACGTGGTGTGGTGGGGTGGGCCAGGGAAAGAGGCCTCAGGCCCTCAAGATTTTAAGGCAAGTTTCTAATCAACTGCTCTGGATTCCACTTTCATGTGAAGAAAGGGATCTGCCTCCATGATGCCCATGACTACTTTTATATTTATCCCCACTCCATCCTCAAATGAAGCCTTCCAGGTGATGTTAATAGTAAAGAACCCACCTGGAATGCAGGAGGCATAACAGACATGGATTCAGTTTCTGAGTCGGGAAGATCTGGAGGAAGGCATGGCAACCCACTCCAGTATTCTTGCTTGGAGAATCCCCATGGACAGAGGAGCCTGGAGGCTACAATCCATGGGGTTGAAAAGAGTCAGACACAACTGAGTGACTTGTCATGCACATCCCCAAATGTCAAGTGCATTTAACCACAAATTTATAAGTTCTGGAGTTACAGATATTTGAATTCAGATCCCAGATCCACCATTTACTATCTTTGTGACATTGGACAAGTGACTTATTTCCTATTCTTTAATTTCTTTAATGTTGGGGTCAGGTAATGACACCTACTGCATACGTTGAGACAAATGAGTCAGTGGACATAAATAAGCATTAATACTTAGCCCAGCTTTTGGCATGTGGTGAGATCTGCATAAACATCAGCTCTCATCATCCTGTGTTCACAGACTACTCACGGCCTCTCCTTTGCCACAGCGCTCCTTGGGACACTGCCAGCAGCCCTTTCCTCTCACATCTGATAATCAGTCCACACACACAAAGCCTTTGCACACAAACTATGCATTAAGTTTTTCAACTAAAAAAAACTTTTTAAGAACCAAAGTGATTGAAAACCTGGGATTGTAATGCAAGTTGTCCCTTCACTAGAGTATTTATTACTATGAACACTGTAATTAAAGGGCTTAGGGTACAGCCAAGGTTGCTTTGTTCAGTATTGTTTCACCTGCTGTTCAATTGAGAACAAAATTACTTTGATAAGTGGATTTAAAGGCTGTCTGGAGTGATGTTATGTTCTGTAAGCACCTCTGTAACATCCAGATTTTGTAATTCAGTATTCCTCATCTATAAATTTCAGTCACAGGTCAGCAAGGGATAAAGATAACCTGAATTCAATCCTTCGTCCCCTCTGTTCCTCTGCAGCTCCACTTTTAGAGCGATAATTAACCCAAGGCTCTTTGAGACAGGGAGTTGCCTTCTTCACACACAGACCCACGGTATCCCGGATCATTTTCCACACCTGTGTAGATCACTCTCTGAGAAGACTAGCCTTTCAGTGCTTGCCCTCCCAGCTACAAGTGACCGTCTTCTCCACTTCACTTTAGCTATCTGCATCTATGTCCACACCCCACCATCATCCAGAAATACTCTAATTGTGTGATCAAACTGTATTATACTATTCCCTTAATTATTCATACCTCATTTACTATTAATCTCTGTCTTTTCTACCAACCTGTCACTCCTGTTTTCACTTCTTTCCCAATTCAGTTTAGAAATTGTAACTCATTTCTTCAGCCTCTATAATCATCTGTGTCCTCAAGTTTATTGTATTTCAATAAGCTGGATCTATTAAACTGGATTAATCCAGTCATCTGTCTTCCATTCTAATACCTGAGGCTGATAGAGGCCCTGGGCCCCATATTCATTAAAATCCTCAAATGAAACTTGTGACAGTCACAGCAGTCAGAATGGCCATCATCAAACATTCTACAAACTGTAAATGCTGGAGAGGGTGTGGAGAAAGGGGAACTGTCTTGCACTGTTTGGTGAGATGTAAATTGATACAGCCACTATGAAGACGATATGGAGATTCCTTAAAAGAAAACAACAAAAAACTAGGAATAAAACCACCATATGACCCAGCAATCCCACTACCAGGCACATACCCTGAGGAAACCAAAACGTGTGACAGTTTGTCCAAATGAAGTTATCCTGTCATCCCACAGATACACCTATGCAATTACAAGAAAGCATTCACTAGAGAACTTAAACTTTGTGCTTTTACTAAATGATACCATCTGTAATGCATTATGAATTAATATTTTAAGTAAATTCTGTAATTATGGAATGAACAGCACAATTTATTGTGTAGTAATGATTGTGTCAGTTATTAATTTGCGACATGTAAGGATTTGAAACGTACTCTGATTTCGTAACCCTCTCTTGGCATTTCAGCATGCTCAGATATACAGGGGGGCTTGAAAATAGGAAGTGTCCAGCCCTCTTCCACTCAGCCTCCAGAAAGTCTGGCTGACACGCTGGTTCCTGGGAACAGCTGGAGGTAATCTCACAGGCTAGTAGATTGGTTCCCCTCCACATTCATAGACCCTAACCATGTTTCCTTATGTCCACACTCATGTGATATTCTAAACTTTGCCATTCTCCTCTTCATGTTTATTCATCATCTCCTCCCCGCCTGCCTTTCAGAAAATCACATCACCTCCAGCTGCTCAGGGAATGGAGGCCACCATGCACAAAAGACCTAGAAGTCTTCCCCTGAACCTCAGATATGCAGGTAACACCACCATTATGGCAGAAAGCAAAGAGGAACTGAAGAGCCTCATGATGAAAGTGAAAGAGGGGAATGAAAAAGCTGGCTTACAACTCAACATTCAGAACACTAAGATCATGGCGTCTGGTTCCGTCACTTCATGGCAAATAGATGGGCAAACAGTGGAAACAGTGAGAGACTTCATTTTGGGGGGCTCCAAAATCACTGCAGATGGTGACTGCAGCCATGTAATTAAAAGACGCTTGCTCATTGGAAGAAAAGCTATGACCAACCTAGATGGCATATTAAAAAGCAGAGACATTACTTTGCCAACAAAGTCCATCTAGTCTAAGCGGTGGTTTTTCCAGTAGTCATGTATGCATGTGAAAGTTGGGCCACAAAGAAAGCTGAGTGCCAAAGAATTGATGCTTTTCAACTGTGGAGAAGACTCTTGAGAGTCCCTTGGACTGCAAGAAGATCCAACCAGTCCATCCTAAAGGAAATCTGTCCTGAATATTCATTGGAAGTACTGATGCTGAAGCTGAAACTCCAATACTTTGGCCACGTGATGCAAAAAACTGACTCATAGGAAAAGGCCCTGATGCTGGTGAAGATGCTGAAGGCAGGAGGAGAAGAGGATGACAGAGGATGAGATGGTTGGATGGCATCACTGACTTGATGGACATGAATTTGAGTAAGCTCCGGGAGTTGGTGATGGACAAGGAGGCCTGGCGTGCTGCAGTCCACGGGGTTGCAAAGAGTTGGGCACAACTGAGCGACTGACCTGAACTAAACCTTCAGAAACGTGTATACAACTGCACAAGCCCTTCTCTCCACAGGTACATTTTTGGAACACGCAGTCTACATGCCTGTTATTCACTTCCTCACCTTTTGATCATTGACCCTTTGACTCAACCCATCTGAAACTGAACTCTTTACCCCTACCCTCCTCCCCCTTATACCACACACACACCCTCCCAAGCCACATCCTCCTTCTGATTCACTGTCTCAGTTAATGGCATCAGGATCCACCTACTTGATCAAACCAGAAAATTGAGTGTCCTCTTAATCACCTCCCTGTCACCATCCAACCAGTTAATACATGTGATTTTCTTTGACATCTTTGAAAGTCTACTGCCCAACTCCAGGTCTATTTCCACTTAGACTTCACTTCCCATCCCTTTGTGCAGAGCTCCCCAGATCGTGTCCCTGCTTCTAGTTTTGCGTGGTTCCATCAGACATCTATTCTGACTCTAGTCACTCCATCAGTGACTTTTCCAGTGTGCAGGTCTGATCATGGTGTGATATCACTCAAGACAAATTCAGCTCCCTTGGCACAGTATGTAAGGCCCTTTGCTCCTCTCCTCCACTGAACTCTTAAGCTCACTTATATAAGTTCTGTTTTCCAGGCTTACTGAACCACTTACGGTTCCTTGAATAAGCCATTTACGCTCTCAGCTTTGACCTCTGCAGGTGCTGCTCTTGCCGTTTGGAACATCTTACTCCCCTTTTCACCTGATTTCCCTTAGTACTTGAATTGCAAAGCTTCTCAATGGGAAGCCCTCCTTGGCTCTGCCCTTCTCACTGGCCTCCACCCCACAGCAGCTGAGAGGTGTCTCCTCTGGGCTCTCACAGAAGCTGCCCACCACTTCCATCATAGCTTTTCCCATAGTCGTAATGTTTGTATGTTTCTGTGTCCCTAACACCACTCTGGGAGCTTCTACAACAATATCTCCCATCTCTTTATTCTTATGCCAGTAAATGCTTAACAATAGACATTCAATAAAAAGAAGGAGGGGAGAGAGGTAGGGAGGGATCCCAGAGCTCCAGAGTAGTGATTTGGGTTTGCTGCCATGACTCTGATTGTGAAAATTCAGTCTCCACAGAACAGACAGATGTTTCTGTATCATATACCTCCAGGACTTAACAACATTTAATAAATGCTAGTGAATTTGCCTGGCTTTTCAAATGTTCTTGATGGAATGAAAGGAACAGTTAACATGCCAGACACTGTGCTAAGTCATTTAATCCTTATAACAACTCTTTAAAATTAAAAATTCAAATTAAAAGCAACCTGTTACAGATGAGGAAATAGAGGCAGAGACAAGCCAAAGAGCTTGCCAAAGTTGTACTGCTAGTAGATGATAGAGCTGCATTTGAATCTTCAGTTTTAAGTCCAGAATGCAAACTTCCCATCAGGCATATTACATTTAATTTCAGGTAATTCAAAAGGATTATTGACAAATTTATACATATAGAAAGGTAAGTGGGTATAGGAACCCTGTCAATATATTTCAAATAAATATAAAGAAATATTTATTTCTATTGACTAATAAATGCTAGTTTAAGGTTATAAAGTCTTAGTGTTAAATGTCAAGGACAATCTGGATTGATATTTGGGAACTCCAACGGAAAGTGTAAAGAGACACAATCTTTTGTCCCAAAGGAGATGTTTGGAAACATTTTACTGAACAATATACTTTTAGGGCTATTCATACCGTGAGGGACATAGATTACCTCGGTTCACGAGAGTCTAACTTAAGAGTTCACAGGAAGGCGAAGGAAACGGTTCTAGTGCGTGGAGTCGGATATCATGGAGCATTATACCTTGATCAGGATTCTTTGTAGCCCTAACCTTATGGTGTGTGTGGGGGGTAGAAAGGACAGGACTCTAAATCTTGTAGAATCCATCACTCTGTATTTGTAAATTCTCTATCATAGTGACCTGTACTCAGCTTCTCTTTGGTCTAAAACTGGAGAACTCTTTTCTTCCATTTCTTCCTCATGATTTCTCTTCACTCATAGCTTCAATAGCTTCAAAGCTTCTCCTTTTTCCCTTCTATTTTTGGATTTTCCTACTGGTGTGCTAACTATATGAGTGGATGAAATTAAGATGAAACATTTGTATAAGTACTTGTAGAGTGATGATTTTGTGCCAGGCATTGGTAGTAATTGGTATAATGATGCCTATTTCATGGGATAATAAAAAAATAGGAAGTATGAATGAGTTTTTAATTATTGCATAATCAGTATGAAGAAGATCCAAGATTTAGTTGACTTGGAATAATTCAGTACAGTTCAGTCACTCACTCGTGTCCAACTCTTTGTGACCCCATGTATTGCAGCATGCCAGGCTTTCTTTTCCATCACCAACTCCCAGAGCTTGCTCAAACTCATGTCCATTGACTCGATGATGCCATCCTACCATTGCATCCTCTATCAACCCCTTCTCCTCCTGCCTTCAAAATTTCCCAGCATCAGGGTCTTTTCTTATGAGTCAGATCTTCCCATTAGGTGGCCAAAGTATTGGAGCTTCAGCTTCAACATCAGTCCTTCCAATGAATGTTCAGGACTGATCTCCTTGAAGATTTGGACTTCAAATCTGGACTGGTTTGATCTCTTTGAAGTCCAAGGGACTCTCAAGAGTCTTCTCCGACACCACAGTTCAAAAGCATCAATTCTTCTGCACTCAGCGTTATGGTCCAACTCTCATATGTATATATGACTACTGGAAAAAACAATAGCTTGGATTAGATTGACCTTTGTCAGCAAAGTAATGTCTCTGCTTTTCAATATACTGTCTAAGTTGATCATAGTTTTTCTTCCAAGGATCAAGTGTCTTTTAACTTCATGGCTGCAGTCACCATCTGCAGTGATTTTGGAGCCCAAGAAAACAAAGTCTGTCGCTGTTTCCACTGTTTCCCCATCTATTTGCCACGAAGTGATGGGACTGGATGCCATGATCTTAGTTTTTTGAATATTGAGTTTTAAGCCACTGTTTATTACTCTCGTCTTTCACTTTCATCAGGAGGCTCTTTCGTTCCTCCTCACTTGCTGCCATAAGGATGGTGTCATCTGCATATCTGAGGTCATAGATATTTCTCACAGCAATCTTGATTCCAGCTTGTGCTTCATTCAGCCAGGCATTTTGCATGATATACTCTGCATATACAGCCTTGATGTACTCCTTTCCCAGTTTGGAAGCAGTCCGTTGTTCCATGTCCAGTTCTAACTGTTGCTTCTTAACTGGCATACAGATTTCTCAGGAGGCAGGTCAGGTGGTCTGGTATTCTTATCTCTTGAAGAATTTTCCACAGTTTGTTTTGATCCACACAGTCAAGGCTTTGGGTAGTCAATAAACCAGAAGTAGACATTTTTCTGGAACTCACTTGTTGTTTCTATGATCCAGTGAATTTTGGCAATTTTGATCTCTTATTCCTTTTCTAAATACAGCTTCAACATCTGTAAGTTCAGTTCATGTATTGGTGAAGCCTAGCTTGGAGAATTTTGAGCATTACTTTGCTAATGTGTGAGATGCATGCAATTGTGCAGTAGTTTGAGCATTCTTTGGCATTGCCTTTCTTTGGGACTGGAATGAAAATGACCTTTTCCAATCCTGTGGCCACTACTGAGTTTTCCAAATATGCTGGCATATTGAGTGCAGCACTTTCACAGCATCATCTTTTAGGATTTTCAGTAGCTCAACTGGAATTCCATCACCTCCACTAGCTTTGTTCGCAGTGATGCTTCCTAAGGCCCACTTGACTTCACATTCCAGGATATCTGGCTCTAGGTGAGTGATCACACCATCGTGGTTATCTGGGTCATGGAGACATTTTTTGTACAGTTCTTATGTGTATTCTTGCTACCTCTTCTTAATATCTTCTGCTTCTGTTAGTTCCATACTGTTTCTGTCTTTTATTGTGCCCATCTTTGCATGAAATGTTCCCTTGGTATCTCTAATTTTCTTGAGATCTCTAGTCTTTCCCATTCTATTATTTTCCTCTTTCTTTACATTGATCACTGAGGATGGCTTTCTTATCTCTCCTTGCTATTCTTTACAACTCTGCATTCAAATGTGTATATCTTTCCTTTTCTCCTTTGCCTTTCACTTCTTTTCTCAGCTATTTGTAAGGCCTCCTCTGACAACTGTTTTGCCTTTTTGTATTTATTTTTCTTGGGGATGGTCTTGATCACTGCCTCCTGTACAATTTCGTGAACCTCCATCCATAGTTCTTAGGCACTGTCTATCACATCTAATCCCTTGAATGGATTTGTCACTTCGGCTGTATAATCATATGGGATTTGATTTAGGCCATACATGAATGATTTAGTGGTTTTCCCTACTTTCTTCAATTTTAAGTCTTAATATGGCAATAAGGAGTTCATGATCAGAGCCACAATCAGCTCCCGGTCTTGTTTTTGCTGACGGTATAGAGCTTCTCCATCTTTGGCTTCAAAGAATATAATCAATCTGATTTCGGCATTGACCATCTGGTGATGTCCATGTGTAGAGTCATCTCCTATGTTGTTGGAAGAGGATGTTTGTTATGACTAGTGCGTTCTCTTGGCAAAACTCTGTTAGCCTTTGCCCTGCTTCATTCTGTACTCCAAGGCAAACTTGCCTGTTACTCCAGGTCTCTCTTGACTTCCTACTTTTGCATCCAGTCCCCTGTGATGAAAAGGACATCTTTTTTGGGTGTTAGTTCTAGAAGGTCTTGTAGGTCTTCATAGAACTGTTCAACTTCAGCTTCTTCGGTGTTAGTTGTTGGGGCATAGACTTGGATTACTGTGATATTGAATTGTTTGCCTTGGAAAGGAACAGAGATCATTCTGTCGTTTTTGAGAGTGCATTCAAGTACTGCATTTCAGACTCTTTTGTTGACTGTGAGGGCTATTCCTTTTTTCTAAGGGATTCTTGCCCACAGTAGTAGATATAATGGTCATCTGAGTTAAATTCACCCATTCCAGTCCATTTTAGTTCACTGATTCCTAAAATGTCAATTATCACTCTTGCCATCTCCTGTTTGACCACTTCAAGTTTCCTTGATTCATGGACCTAACATTCCATGTTCTTATGCAGTAATGCTCTTTACAGCATCAGACCTTGATTCCATTACCAGTCACATCCACAACTGGGTGTTTTTTTCACTTTGGCTCCATCTCTTCATTCTTTCTGGAGTTATTTCTCCACTAATCTCCAGTAGCATATCGGGCACCTACCAACCTGGGGAGTTCACCTTTCAATGTCATATCTTTTTGCCTTTTCATACTGTTCATGGAGTTCTCAAGGCAAGAATACTGAAGTGGTTTGCCGTTCCCTTCTCCAGTGGACCACGTTTTGTCAGAACTCTCCACCATGACCCATCCATCAGTGTGGCCCTACATGGCATGGCTCATAGTTTCATTGAGTTAGACAGGGCTGCGAGCCATGTGATCAGTTTGGTTAGTTTTCTGTGACTGTGGTTTTCATTCTGTCTGCCCTCTGATGGATGAGGATAAGAGGCTTATGAAAGGTTTCTGATGGGAGGGATAGGCTGTGGGGGAATCTGGGTCTTGTTCTGATGGGCAGAGCCATGCTCAGTAAGTCTTTAATCCAGATGAAGGACTAGAGGGATGTGTGCCCCTCTTCTCCTGCAAGAACTCCAAAAATGCAACTCACTGCTGAACACCATCAATAGGAGAATGTTGGATCCCACCAAAAAAAGATACCCCACATCCAAGGCCAAAGGAGAAGCCCCACCAAGACAGTAGGAGGGGAGAGATCACATTTAGAATCAAACTCCATCCCCACCAGAGACACTCGGAGGGCTCAAAGAAAACCTTGTTTGCACCAGGACCCAGAGACCCCACAGAGACTAAGCCAGACCTGCCTTTGAGTGTTTGAGGGTCTGTGGAGGTAGGGGTCAGCAGTGGCCTGCCACGGGGACAGGGGCTCTGGGTGCAGCAGACTTGGGAGGCAAGGTGTGAGAGCCCCACCATAGAGCTGCTGAGCAGATGACCCACAAACTGGAGAATAATTACACCAAAGAAGTTCTTTCACTGTTACAAAAGTTCTAGGACCCATAACAGATTTCCCAACCTGGGGATCTGGGAAAGGGACTGAGAACCCCCTGGGAATTTGACTTTGGAGGCCAGTGGGATTTGATTGCAGAACTTCCACAGACCTGGGGAAACAGACTCTTGGAGGGCACAAACAAAACCTTGTGTGCACCAGGACCCAGGAGAAAGGAGCAGTGATCCCATAAGAGACTGAGCCAGACTTGCCTGTGAGTGTCCAGGAGTCTCTGACAGAGACATAGGTTGACAGTGGTCTCCCGCAGGGTCAGCGGCACTGAATACAACAGTCCTGACACAAGCCCTTTTGAAGGAGGTCGCCATTACAGCCATTACCCCTAACATAGTTTGGCCTCAGATCAAAAACAGGGAGGGAACACAACCCCACCCACCAACAGAAAACTTATATAATTGCATGAGAAGAAATTAAGGAACAGCTTTCAGGAGAAATTTCTACTTGACCTGATGTTGTGGTTGTTATTCAGTTGTTAAGTTGTGTCTGACTCTTTACAACCCATGGACTGTAGAAAGCCAGTCTCCTCTGTCCTCCATTGTCTCCTGAGTTTGTTCAAATTCATGTCCACTGAGTCAGATATGCTGTCTAACCATCTCATCCTCTGCCACCCTCTTCTCCTTTTGCCTTCAGTCTTTCCCAGCATCAGGTTCTTTTCCAGTGAATCATCTCTTTGCATCAGGTGGCCAAAGTATTGGAACTTCAGCTTCAGCATCAGTCCTTCCAATTAATATTCAGGACTGATTTCCTTTAGAATAGACTGGTTTGATCTCTGTGCAGTCCAAGGGACTCTCAAGAGTCTCATCCAACACCACAGTTTGAAAGCATCAGTTCTTTGGCCTTCAGCCTTCTTTACTCTTCAAGTCTCATATCCGTACATGACTACTGGAAAAGCCATAGATCTGACTAGAGAGACCTTTGTCAGAAAAGTGATGTTTCCGCTTTTTAATCTGCTGTCTAGGTTTGTCATAGTTTTCCTTCCAAGGAGCGAGCATCTTCTAATTTTATGGCTGCAGTCACTGTCTACAGTGATTTTCATGACTGCAATCACTGTCTGCAGGAGCCCAAGAAAATAAAAGCTGTCACTGCTTCTACTTTTATCCCTTCTATTTGCCATGAAGTGATGGTACCAGATGCCATGGTCTTAGTTTTTTGAATATTGAGTTTCAAGTAAGTTTTTTCACTCTCTTGTTTCACCTTCATTAAGAGGCTTTTTAGTTTTCCTTCACTTTCTGCCATTAAAGTGGTATCATCTGCATATCTGAGGCTGTTGATATTTCTCCTGGGAGTCTTTATTCCACTTTGTGATTCATCCAGTCCAGCATTTAGCATGATGTACTTTGCATAGAAGGAGAAGGAAATGGCAACCCACTCCAGTACTCTTGCCTGGAGGATCCCATGCACGGAGGAGCCTGGTAGGTTGCAGTCCATGGGGTCGCTACGAGTCAGATGCGACTGAGCAACTTCACTTTCACTTTTCACTTTCATGCATTGGAGAAGGAAATGGCAACCTACTCCAGTGTTCTTGCCTGGAGAGTCCCAGGGACTGGGGACCCTGGTGGGCTGCCGTCTAAGGGGTCGCACAGAGTCAGACACAACTGACGTGACTTAGCAGCAGCAGCAGCACTCTGCATAGAAAGTTGCTCAGTCATGTC